ATTACAAAGTTACCTTTTATTATCTTTCCACCTCATACATTCTATCCCTAATTCCACCTGACCTTTTCTTCTCCAAGTTAAATAAAACATTTTCTTTATTTTGAACTTTGAAAAGCCTCTTGTGTGCATTTCAGAAACAGAATATAAGAAGGTGATTTTGTATCTTCCCTCAGTTTCCTGGACTGGGCCATCATTGAAATATATATAGCAAAATGACAGGATGGGACAAATACAAAGAAAATAGATATAGGGGAGCTCAGAAAGAAAGAAGAAAAACAGTGCAAATCCTGTGCATGAGAAAGGGAAGTGGGCGAGATCATTTAGAACTGTACTGGGAAGTAGCCTATGTCCGACAATGGGACCTGCCTCAGACCTGCAGAGGCAACCCACCTTGTAATGCTATCTTTTCCCCAAATTTATGTGATGATAGATGAACTGCTTATTTTGCCTCCAAATAGTGGGAAGGTTTGAAACAAGCTGAAGATTACTTTTTGAAATGAGCAGTACCCAGGAGCTTTCTTACACAACTTACATACCTTTCATATCTACGTAACATTCAAATGTGTATTTAAGTGGCTTTTTGGACATTGTCACATACTACATATGGCATTGTTATTACTTAGGATGAAGAAAAACTGGGCTGCACCCAGCAATGTGCCAGCAAACCCAAAAGGGGGGAAATAGGCAATTGGTTTATTATCATACAGAGCCCCTTTGGATTTTGCCATGCAGGCTTCATCAGGGCAATCTATAAAAACATAATTTTGCATTAAATACAAATAATAGAAGGACCTTGTGATGATCTCACCCTCTTCCCTCATGGCCAGGAGTTTCCCCTTTTTTCCTTCTTCTTTCTTCCTTTCCTTTATCTTTTTTCTTCTTATTTGTTTTGTCTATGGCTGTCCCACCCAGGCTTTCATGCAAACATGTTAAAGTCTTACCACGGCAGATGTAATCTGGTCCTTAAGACTCACAGAGTCAACAGGCTTTCAAGGAAGGGAGAAGTTGGGGTGTTTTGCTACTGCCTTCCTCTGCAGAGTCTTCCTTTGGTGCTCCCTCTACCAAGTATTGACCCTGCTTAGCTTCTGAGATCTGACAAGATAGGGCCATGCCATGCCACCTTCCCTCCCAGATTGATTTACTTACTAAAGATTTATTGTGACGTGAAGTTTTGGTGAACTACAGCCCACTTTATCAGATGTAAGAAGCGTGTCCTATATTGGTAAAAGGTAAAGGTAAAGGTTCCCTTGCTCGAAAGCCAGTTGAATCCGACTCTAGGGTTGGTGTACTCATCTCCGTTTCAAAGCCGAAGAGCCAGCGCTGTCTGAAGACGTTTCTGTGGTCATGTGGCCGGCATGACTAAACACCAAGGCACACGGAACGCTGTTCCCTTCCCACCGAAGTGGTACCTATTTATCTACTTGCAATTTCTTGCTTTCGAACTGCTAGGTTGGCAGGAGCTGGAACTAGAGACGGGAGCTCACTCCATCATGCGGCACCCGGGTCTCGAACTGCTGAACTACTGACTTTCCACAGCCTGCAGTTCAGCGTCTTAACCACTTGAACCACCGCAGCTCCTATATTGGTATATTGGTACCATATTGGTACTATATTAGTACACATGTTTATGTCTGTAAAAATACAAAATTACAAGCCAAAAGGCTAATTAATCAAAGAGTTGAGGATATCGAACGACAATCTGATATCACTAAGGCTTCAAAACTCGGGGTATTGCTAAATATCAAAAGCATCATTGAGCCGGCTACATATCTGACTTCAGTGGAGGGAAAGAACTCTAGAAGGGCATTCACCCTAGCCAGATGTTCTGCCCTTCCATCTGCAGTTATTCAAGGCAGGTATAATAAAAAAAAACCCTACCCTGAAAGGCTATGTTCATGCACTTCATGTGAGGTTGAATCAGTAGAGCATATGTTTTTCAGTTGCCCATTCTACAGAGAAGTTCGTCTTAAAACCATTACCCCATTAGTTGATAGGATACCTGGTCATATCAATACGAACAAAGCAAGACTTCACTGGCTTCTATCAGATAAGAATGGAGAGATTACACATTCAGTTGCTGAGTTCTGTACATTGATTCTTAGACTGTGGGAGTCGCATTTTAAGAGTTTTTAAATTTAGATTTTATTCTGTATATTATCTCTGTTTTTTCCTTCTTTTACATACTATGTTTGTATTGTATGCTGGTCTTAAGACCGTAATAATAAAACTAAACTAACTAATAAAACTAACTACAAAATTACAACATTAGACACGTGGTTTGGATCAGGGTCCTGCAGAGGTCCCTGGGTGGAATCTTTGTCTGGGAGCACATGTCGACTCTCAGGAGCCCTGTCCTCTTCCCCTCTCTCAGCCCTCACAAGTGTGCATGAGCAATGGGAGCTTTGGCGGATGAGTCCCTGGTGGCACATGTGGCCAAGAGACTGGATAGGGGACCCTGTTCCAACTAGGCTCACATAACAAGTATCATTTTCCTAGACTTATAGGGTTTGTTAGAAGGAATGGCTCATAAGTTATTTTGTGCTTTTGTCTGATCAGACACAAAGAGTTCACACCAGAGGAGCAGAATGAATGAGCTGTCGGGGACTTGTCCTGTGAAGTGCTTCAGAGCTCCGTTCTGTCACCCACGCTCTTTAATATTTATATGAGCTTGCTGAATGAGATTGTCTGGAGCGATGGGAATTGGACGTCATCAACATGGTGTCGTGTGACCAAACTGTTGTCATATCATAAAAGTAGGGTTCCCAAGTACTTACCGCGATCCGGCAGGAGACATATGCTCCCCGGCCGGAACATTCCTCCCTGTAACACACCATGCCATTGCCAGGAAGTGACGCTGGGTGACGCTCTGGCAATGGGGCTGAAAACTCGATGATACCATCGAGTTTCCAGCCCCATTGCCAGAGCGTCACCCAGCATCACTTCCTGGCAACGGCATGGTGCGGCGCATATGTTGTCCACGGGGGAATGATCCTGGGAAGATGTCTGTGTCCCCCGCCAAATCACGGTAAGTACTTGGTAAGCCTGCATAAAAGGAAGAGAGCAAACTGAAGAAGGAGAGAGAAAAATGGAGGGAAAGGAAGAGAAGCTAAGAAAAGGGGAATGTTGTTTTATTTTCTGCAACATACTAATAGGGGAGATCTGGCCGAGTGTACAAAACTTGGAGCTTGGTGGAAGGGAAGGAAGAAGGAATCAGACTGCTAGAAACAAGAGCCTGGACTGTGGGCCAGCCAGGACTCAGCAACAGTGAGGACTCCTCGAGAGAAGAAGAGCCACAGCTGATGCAGATCCACCGGCACCTTCCAGCTCTGTTCCAACAGATGAGACCCAGGTGGTCATTACCAGCCCTCCAGTTTCTCCCACACCCCTTGAGCGCTGGAGACAAAGACTTAGATTGGAGCTCTGGGACAGAAGTCAAAGCGCAGGACTCCTGGCCTGACACCAGCTGACGATGAGTAGCTGCAGGGATACTCCCAAGCAGTTGGCTGCAAGTAAGACCTTCCACCAGATGCATATAAAAGCCAGCCAAGGGAGGCTGCTTGATGTGGAAGTAATAAGTCACCAACGGCCTGACTCTGTGAGTACAGCTCTGGAGTCGGCTTTCCTCCTGTGACCTTTGGACCAGATTCTGACTCCCGCTCTCCCTGCCTGTGTGAATGACCTTGGACTGCTAGATCTTGCTTTCTGGACCACACTCTGAACTGGATTCTGCTCTCTGGTAACTGACCTTCTGGGCTGAATCTCGACTCTAACTTGGCTTGCTCCTAGGCTCTGACACAGCCTTGTTAGGAGGCCACAGCCTGGTAATGACTGTAGCAGCCATGGACTCCACCTTTTTTGGGCTGTGTTTGGATTACCCATTTTCCCCTTTCCTTGGATTCACAACAATAATTCATGATTTTGTAGCCTGGTTAGTTTTCTGCTATGCACTCTGCGTTGGGCTACTGTGTGACACAGAGTGTTGGACTGGATGGGCCTTTGGCCTGATCCAACATTGGCGTCTCTTATGTTCTTATGTTCTTATGAACTGTGCTGGCTGGTCTTGCTTTACTCCAGTACTGGATTGGTTGATGGAGCAGAATGAGCTGACTGGGATTTGTCCTGTGGAGGGCCTCCGAGCTGTCGCCCATGCTCTTTAATATTTATATGACCTGCAGCTTGAGATTTTCTGGAGCTTTGGGGGTTGGATGTCATAAACATGGAGGTGACAACTGGCTCCGTGTGTCATTATCTAAGCCTGCAGCTGCACCCCTCTCTCCTCTAAGCCAGTGCTTTCAGGCTGTGGTCATGTAACTGAGACAGAACAAGGTGGAGCTGAATACAGACAAAACAGAGGTAATGCCGGTCAGGAAGGCTGATACTTTGGAGGGACTGGATCACCTACGGTGGCTGGAGAAAAACCTGCAAATGTAGAGCAGGTTAAGAGTGAGAGGGTGCTCATCGTGAACCTAGCCTTGCTGTCTGAAAACCACGTGCCTTTTTTGGGCTGTGTTTGGATTACCCATTTTCCCCTTTCCTTGGATTCACAACAATGATTCATGATTTTGTAGCCTGGTTAGTTTTCTGCTATGCACTCTGCGTTGGGCTACTCTTGAAGACACCTGAGAAACTGCAGCTAGTGCAGAATACAGTAAAATTAACAATTAGTAATGACAGGTGCGTTTGGAAATATACTAATTTTGTCAATCACGAAAGAGTAGTACATATCCATTTGTAGAGACAGAGGCAAAGATGGTATTTAGCATCTCGGCAGAATGTGCAAATATGAAATATTAGAACAGGATATAGATTCCCATAACTCAGTCCTTTCTGGTAAGATTTGCATCTCAACAGAGTCAACACTACAAAATAGCTCCTGCCTCTTCAGATGTTTTTCAGTTCCTAAACTGAAGTCCATATCGTAGGGTTAATATTACTGAACGGAACTGAGGAAAGTGTGAACAATATATCAGAAGAAACACCTTTCTTTTCTGCTTGGAAAGATGGCTACCATATTCATGAGGATCACTTTTACCCTTCGGGTTACTGAAATCCTTGTTGGAATGGTAGCAAATGGATTTATTGTCCTCATCAATTGCATTGACTGGTTCAGAAGCAGGAAACTATCCTCAAATGACCTGATCCTGACCTGTCTTGGCTTGTCCAGACTTGCATGGCTGGTAATCATGATTCTGGAGGGAATGGAGAATTTCTTTTCTCTGGGCAATCGTGTTTGGAATGACGCACATCCAATGCCTCCAATCATGTGGATATTTACAAACTCTGCCAACATCTGGTTTGCCACCTGGCTCAGTGTTTTCTACTTGGCAAAGATTGCCATTTTCTCACATCCCATTTTCCTCCAAGTGAAGCAAAGAATCTCTGCACTGGTGCCATGGCTGCTTCTGGGCTCAGTCGTCTTCTCTGCTATGACGGCTGTCATTCTAATGACAAGCTTGAACAATGGTTTTTCCATACGCAGTCCCGCCAATGATTCAGAAAGTAAAAAGCCTGGCTGCTCGAACTACGTGGGTATTCTAACAGTAGCAACAAATCTCATTCCCTTTCTGATATTTCTGTCATCGACCATCTTATTAATAACCTCTCTGTGGAAGCACATAAGGCACGTACAATGCAATGGAATTGGTGTCAGGGATCTCAACATTCAAGTTCACTTGACTGCCATCAAAGCTCTGGCTTCCTTCGCTGTTCTATACCTGTCTAGTTTTCTAGCAATCATTTCGCAAGAAGTACTGATCAAGAATAACATGGATCACAGTTGGTCAGTGAGGCTGCTTGATCTTGTGGTTGCCGCTTATCCCGCTGGTCATACTATTATCCTGATATTAATTAATCCCAAACTGAAACAGACATGGGTCAGGATGCTACATCACGTAAAATGCTGTGAAGGGCCATCTTAAAATCTACGAAGAGGCCATAGGGAGAGGACATTTTCTTCTGCATGAAGAACACTCAAAAGCTCTTGGGGCACAATCCTACAGGAGGTTTTTCCATGATAGACACTCTGTGTTTCTCCTTTAATGCAAATGTATGTGTTTTATTAATGGTGAATTATCTCTCCAACTGGCAATTCTGGTAGAAGATACATTGGTGATATGCTGGTGGAATCATTTTTTCTCTCTGCTTCAGAACAGGTCAGATCAGATTAGTACCTTTTGATTTGGATACAATGGCAGAGAATGTTGATTTGAATACAATGGCAGAGAATGATTTATAAGAACATACATAAGAACATAAGAGACGCCAATGTTGGATCAGGCCAAAGGCCCATCCAGTCCAACACTCTGTGTCACACAGTGGCCAGAAATACCAGTGCCATCAGAAGGTCCACCAGTGGGGCCAGGACATTAGAAGCCCTCCCATTGTTGACCCCCCCCAAGCACCAAGAAGACAGAGCATCCCTTGCCCCAGAGCACCTATCTATACCTTGTGGCTAATAGCCACTGATGGACCTCTGCTCCATATGCTTATCTAATTCCCTTTTGAAGACGTCCATGCTTGTAGCCGCCACCACTTCCTGTGGCAGTGAATTCCATGTGTTAATCACTCTTTGGGTGAAGAAGGACTTCCTTTTATCCATTCTAACCCGACCGCTCAGCAATTTCATGGAGTGCCGACGAGTTCTTGTATTGTGAGAAAGGGAGAAAAGTACCTCTTTCTCTGCCTGCTCTATCCCATGCATAATCTTATAAACCTCAATCATGTCCCCCCTCAGTCGTTGTTTCTCCAAGCTAAAGAGCCCTAAGCACTTTAACCTTTCCTCAGAGGGAAAGTGTTCCAACCCTTTTGTCATTCGAGTTGCCGTTTTCTGCACTTTTTCCCGTGCTACAATATTCTTTTTAAGGTGTGGTGACCAGAACTGCACACAGTATTCCAAATGAGGTCGCACCATGGATTTATATAGGGGGCAGTGTTCCCTCTAAGCTGAGTTAGTGTGAGCTAGCTCACAATTTTTTAGCCTCCGGCTCACACATTTTTGTCCTAGTTCAGGAAGGACTGCTCCAGAGCAAACTAATTTATGCAGTAGCCAAATTGCTCGCTCACAACTTTAATGCCAGTAGCTCACAAAGTAGAATTTTTGCTCACAAGACTCCATAGCTTAGAGGGAACATTGATAGGGGCATTATGATATTGGCTAATCTGTTTTCAATACCCTTCCTAATAATCCCCAGCATAGCACTGGCCTTTTTTATTGCAGTCATACACTGTCTCGACATTTTCAGTCTCCTGAACTACAACTCCAAGATCTCTCTCTTGTTCAGTCTCTGCCAGTTCAGACCCCATCAATGTGTATTTATATTTAGGATTTTTGGCTCCAATGTGCATCACTTTGCACTTGGCCACATTGAACCCCATTTGCCATGTTCGCGCCCATTAATATATATTTAACGTTATACATTTCTGTGGAGATACAGCTGTATCCCAGTTTCTCATGTGCTAAAGCCATTATCTTCTACTAGTTCTACCGCAAAGGTTTGATGAAAACATATACCCAGAAGTCTATTATAATTTCTCTTACAATTCATGAAATAAGTATTTTTCCTGGGCTCTCATCAATATACGTTATTGTCAATTATATTATACCTATAGAAATTATTGATATTGTAGTTGTGTTGTACTTGATGATAACTGTAATTGTAATTCCATTTCAACTAAAGGGTTAATACACTGTTTTCAAACTTCCTTTAGCTTTGAGGGGGGGGGGTGTTTTTGGTTCAGTAGGGTTAAAGAGATGATATCTTTGGAGACTATATACCATGCATTGTATTTGCTGATGGACATTGTCAGTGGTATCACCCAGATGTCATTACTTATCTTGGAATACTGATTCCTAGAGAGATAAAGCACATGATTACACTAAATTTTGATTCCTGATATATCCTTAGAATGGGATAGATGGACAACCTTAAACATTTCTTTATTGGGTAAGGTAAGTAAAGTAAAGGCAAAGTTTCCCTTGCTTGAAAGCCAGTCGAATCCGACTCTAGGGTTGCAGTGCTCATCTCCGTTTCAAAACCGAAGAGCCAGCGCTGTCCGAAGACATTTCCATGGTCATGTGACCGGCATGACTAAACACCAAGGCGCACGGAACGCTGTTACCTTTCCACCGAAGTGGTACCTATTTATCTACATGCAATTTCTTGCTTTCTTTTTTTTTTAAGCCCCCGGAGGGGATTTTTTATTATTTTTTCAAACTACAAAAACTACTATAGAAAAAACAGGAAGGGGTACTACACATACAGGATAAAGAAAAGATACCCACCCTACCTAAAAACCCAAGAGAGGAGATCTTCATTAGCTTACTCACAATAAAACTTCCCTTCGTTTAAACACAAAACAAACTGAGTCAATCATTAATACATTTTCTTCTTTTTTTTCTAACTTTTACAATTCACTGTCTAAAGACAACATCCCCAAATCTTCTATTCATCTTTTTTCCCGAGGCACCATTCAGAGTCCTTCAGCCTCTATTTCTCTGTTTATCGTCTCTTTCGTAGCTTGTAGGGACTTTTTGGAGCAGCCGCCCCCTTCTTGTCCAGAGAGTCCTCTCCAGAAGAGCCAGAGTCCAGTTCGCCACTAGGCTTGCTGTCCTCTTCTTTTTCTTCGTCCTCTGATCTTCCCAGCTGCACTTTTAAAAAGTCTTTAGCTTTTATGACAGAGTCAATCTTTTCTTTTTTATCTTTGATCTTGAAAGTGACTTCCTCTGGAAACGACCATTTATATCCAATTGAATTTGTCTGAAGAAAAGTCACCAACTCTTTGTATTTCTTTCTCCGTTGTCTCACCTCAAATGGAACATCCTTCAGCATTCTGATAACACTTTCTCGCACTTTCAGGGAGGCTCCAGAAACCGCTTTCAGGATTGCATCCCTTACATGCCTCTTCGAGAATCTTACAACAATTTCCCCAGGCAGATTATTCTTCTTTATATATCCTGAATATGATCTAAAGACCACATCCATTTCGCTTAGTAACAGTTCTTTTTTCATATCTGCCACTGGAGCTAGTAGTTCGCTCATCTCTTCTTTAAGATTCTCCCCCGGTTTTTCTGGCATGCCCTGGAAGTGAAGAACCATGCTGGCCTTTTCCATTTGTACTTGTAGCATTTGACCTTCCAAAGAAGTTGTCTTTTCCTCCAGCTTTTGCACTTTCTTCTTTACTTTTTGTGTAGTTGCAGTCACTTCCTTTACTTTCTCAGCATCTTGCTTCATAATTTGTATCAGATCACCCATCTGGGCTTGAGTTGCACCCATCTGGGCTTGTGTTTCTGTTATGCTTTGTGTTACTTTTGACATCTGCTCTTTGAAGTTATTCAGCTGTTCCATCAGAGGGCGTATAGATTCTGCTACAACCTTCGCCATCTCACTGGCTACTTCCGATTTAGGACTGTCCAGCCCCTTAGCTTTCAGAAGTCTTTCTTTGTCCTTCTTCCCCGGCATCTTAATCATTTGTTTACTTTTCCCAACTTTGCTAAAGTCTCTGAATGTGCACTTGATCGCTTAAACGCCCACGGGTAAGTGCCTCTCGGCAGTTTTCTCCGCTTTTTCTTCCACTCCCTTCCCTCACTCGTTTAACATATGGACATGGGAGGCATCCCTCCCCCCACTCGCCTTTTCTCAGTTCCGTGAAGTAGGGTGGGGAGCTGCCTTTTGTTCTTTAAGTTGCCTTAGCATTGACTCACGTTCATTGTTGGTCTTCCCACCCCACTCAAAGCTTCATTTCAAACGCCAGATCTCCTACGCTTGCTCCGGTAAATGCCACTAGTCCCATCTGGGTCTCATGGCACGGGAAACCACTGGAACAAAGAGGTGCCTCAATTCTCGGGCATTCCACCCTTGAAGAGGCCGCCTCTTCAAAGGTTCCTTGGCCAGGGCCCCTTCCCCGGGCCCCTGGGGGAGTTTGCGAGCCTGCGCACCCCCTCCCCTGTCCGGAGCGCAGCCTCACCCCCGAGCAGTCCGGGAGGTGAGTCTGCTTAGCGTGCCGCCATCAACCGGAAGTCTGCCGCCATCGACCGGAAGTCTGCCGCCATCTGCTAGGTTGAACTGCTAGGTTGGCAGGAGCTGGAACGAGAGACGAGAGCTCACTCCATCATGCAGCACACTTGGGTCTCGAACTGCTGAACTACCGACCTTCTACAGCCTGCAGTTCAGCGTCTTAACCACTTAAGCCACTGCAGCTCCTATTGGGTAAAGTAAACACCCTCAAAATGAACATTATAACTTGGATTATATGTTTTACATGCTATTCCTTTTCATATACCTGGTAGATCTAATAATAAAATTAAGAATTTTATTTCACAAATTTATTTGGGGTTCCTTACCATCTCAGATTTCTTTAAAGAGGATGTAACTCCCATTTAGTACAGAGAATTTCATTTCCTGATCTTAGTTTATATCTTCAGGTATATCTGATAACTTGTTCTAATTATTGGGTTTGATCCACTCAGTTGTACTATCCATTTTAGGCTATTTTGGAATGCATTGGCTTCCAGGAGGGGCCTGGGGATCTCCTCCTTTTACAACTGTTTATCGGGGTGGGGGGGTTGATCTGCTTTTGCCAAGGTAGCTATTTAATTGCTGCTGGTTTCTGATCCTGTTTCCACTTTGGTTTCATTTCATCCTGCTGTCGATTTCTCTGGCTCCCATGCTCGATAGCATCTGGGTAGCATTAGCTTGCGTCGCTTAACATGTGGTTTGCTCCTGCATTACTAATTCATTAATTCAGTCATTTTAATTCAATGTTATTGTCCTTGCACTTTTAATCAATAAGTAAAAACAATCAAGATATCAAACTAAATATTTTTCAGGGGAATGCGTGTTTCAATTGATTGTATATAGTGCTTAGTGAGTTCGTTATCTGCACTGCCTTATTAATAAGTCACAAATAGGCATAAGGGGCTGCCTTCTGTATCCGAATCTGGCACATTTCACTATGACAAGCCTGAGCTTATTTTATTGCTATGCCTCCTGTGCCACCAGTGGATTGGCTCCAGATCCTGTTGGATTACTCCTATTTTACATAGACATCACCTCCCTATGGAACCTTGGGTGATAATAAACATACTGCTAGCAGATGAGGACCCTGAAACGACTCGCTTGGTGGCAAAATATTTACCAATAGTGCTATTTTTAAAGTGGCTTTGAAATGGTGTAGGTAGCTTTATCTATACAAATTTTAAAATTATAAAATTAATTTCCATAATATCATGGGATTTTATAGAGTTTATGGAAGTTTATAAAATGTTGTCCATTAATATTGTTTATGAGTACGTTTATTAGTTTTTATTGTAAAATGTTTGGTCTAAATTATCTTGTAATTATATGTAATGTGTTTTATAGTACCTGTTTGTACGTCTGCCTTAAGACCTCTGGTCAATGAAGCTAATAAAGGAAAGGAAAGGAAAGCTATGCCTCCTGAAAAAAAGAATCCCTTGGCAAGAAGGGCTAAGCTGTATCTCAGCCCAAGGCAGCCAAACTCAGCATGACCCAATGAGGGGGAGTTCATGCCACCCCTACAGACTCACAGGCAGGCACTCATGCTTCCAAAGGTGCCCCTTACAGCACCTGGGGTGCATCACAGCACTCAGGGACCTTGGATGCCTCCTCCAGGGCTATGGGTTCACAGCCTCCTGTTCGGGAGCCCCCAGCACAACCAGTGCCAACCCCTCCTGTTGATAATTCAGCTATTTTACAGGGCATTTCTCAAATGCTATTGCAGTTTTTGGAGCAGATGGAACAGCTAGGGTTCCATACAGCCTCTACTGAACCACCTGTGCCCTCTGCCACCAGAAGATGGAGACCCCGGTTCCCAGGGGAGTCTCAAGCATCCAGCCTCTCTAGTGAAACCCACATGGAGAGCCCACCCTGCATAGAAAGCGATGGGGTGGTGGAGGACTCGGAATTTGACATGATCACTAGATATGTCAGACACTAGTGCTTCTTCAGGTGAGTCACTGAGCTCACCACAAGTTATCTGTGATTTCACAGCACTTGACACACACACAAGTAAATCAGTAAGAAATCTTTTTCAGTTTACCCTTTTAACCTTTATGTTGGGGACCATTTTCATGCACCCTCATTCCCACTGTGTTCAATTTTGGGAGTGAGAAAGAAGCTGGCTTCCCTATTGCTGAGAGAGAAGAGGGGAGTTTCTAAATCAAGACTCAATTTATTCCATTACATATTCTTAAGTCAGAAAACATTTTTGTAGCATTTCAATATTCAACATAGAATATTTTAGCACAACCCCAATACATAAATACAAAATTAGTGCACTTGTAATTCTATAAAGGATATCCTTAGTTGTTCTGCCAAGAGCCATGGCAGGGTAGTTGATCAGAAGAACCAGAAACAAGACTAAAATCAGACATTAAGTACCCTCTTTCACCCATTGAAGCTAATGTTACTGTCAGTCAATTCTGTGATGAGCATTTGACATACATCTGACATATACAACAAAGTCAGCCCTTTCTGTCTCTGGGGTCAGGAAAGTCAAGGAAACCTGGGTTAAGCCAGGGTGACTCACAGAATCAAGGAAGCTAGTTTCTGATACTCGTATCTATTTACTAGGAGTAAGGCTTGTTGTGGGAAGAAATACAACGAGCTCTAGAAGGAAGCTCCAGGTGAGTGTCCCGGCTGTGGCTGGTGGGGCAGCAGAGGGAAGGGGAAAATAGAGGGAGGCAAGCCGTGTTTATTTCCTTCTGGTTAGCTATAAGACAGGGCTGTCTCAAGTCATTTTGCTGCCCCGTAGGTAGTATGGCAGGACAGCCTCATGGTAACATGTATGGTTCCCACCACCCCTGACTTATGTTGATTTGGGGTTATGTAGTGGCAGCTAAGTTAGAAAACCACCTCCTCCTATGCCATGTCTTCCTGGTTCCAAGGGTCTGGAAAGTGGTTCCATGGCCAGTCACAGAGTGATTTCTGACTGCTGTAAAGTCATGTCCAATGGAGGCCACACACAGCCCATAGTAGCATCCTAAAGCTTCCTGGGAGCACAACAGAAAGTTTCAACTATATAGGCTAATTACTATAGATTAATAGTTTAATTTGGTGTACCAGAGGTTTTGCAGAGTTTTAGCAGAGGGTTGAGACTCAGTCCAGCCCTGATTCTGTGACATTTTATGTAGCAGAAAAGCAGTGGCAAATTGATTATGTAGTGGTAGTGGGTGAGAAGTTCTGGGACCATTGGGATTGATCTTCATGACATACATTCTAAAAAGATCGTGTCATTTCTCATATAACATGAAGCCTAATGTGTACAGTAGCAAAGTAGCATTAACAACGGGATATTAGATGTCCCACCAATACAACAACCCACTGGCTAAGAGTATTTAAATTAAATCTAATTAACGGGGGGGGGGGAGTTCTAACTTTTGTTCCAGAGGTGTAAACACTAACATTTCATTGCCATGCATGTAAGGCAGGGGCACATCTGTTCCAGGTTCAAAGAAATCCCAGGGAAATGACACAAGAGATACAGTGTTGCTTACAAGGAGATTTTTAAAAAATCATCAAAGTGACAGAAAATGTAGGCTGAGCTTCCATCAGCTGGGCCTCGAGCCCGCACACACAGAGTAAAGCTTCCCAGAATCCGAGACCGTGGCCCTTTCTGCACTCTCCTTTTAATCCATGTTCACTGTGGTGTCCTCCAAGAAATTCTGCACTAAAACCGAATTCAACCTTCTTTTTATTCCAGGTTTTCCCCCCCATTCTGCATTACATTACATCCCTTCAGTGATCAACCCAGTTTCAGCCTGCTGTTGCCCCAAGTTATTTGGATGCTGCTTTGTTGTGGACTTAAATCGCCTCGACTCAAACACTGGGGAAATCTGGCGTGGCAGGCAAATGCAGAAGGGACCCATGTTGTGTCTTATACTCTAGATGCTGGCTATTAGTCAAAGGATCATTCATTAAGCTCTCCCAAACACTTGAATGAGCCAGGCCATCTTGCACCTGGCCTCCAGAGGGGGGGAAGAAACAACCCAGGCCTTGAAAATAAGCTCTGCTAATAAGCACGAGAGAGGAAAGTTCCCTTGAGAGTGGCTAAACACCATCCTCTCACAAGGCTCAAAGCAACTAAGCACCAGCATGTCACAAAGACGGAGCCGTGCAGGCCATACGGCATCCTTTTACTACTTCGATCGATCATGGGGAAATATTAACTCCCCACCCCACACTTCTGCTCATAATAATAACAAGGATTTGCTGCTAGACTACTATTAAGCACATTCTGAGTTGCCAAGAAAGGATGAGAAGGAGCTGAGACCAAGACTGAGAAATAAAGGGAGGGGAAGAGGAAGATGTGGGGAGAGAGAAATATTAGCCTCCAGCTTCATCCATTTCTGCTCTGTGCCAGTGCTTCAAGGCCGTGCTCATGTAACTGAGGCAGAACAATACAGAGTGAATATAGACAAGACAGAGGTAATGCTGGACAGGAATGCTGATGCTTTGGACTAGGGACTGGAAAAGTACCTGCAAATATAGAGCAGGTTAAGAGTGAGACAGTGCTCATGAACCCAGCCTTGCTGCCTGAAAACCAGGTGCCTTCTTCGGGCTGTGTTTGGATTGCCCATTTTCTCCTTTCCTTGGATTCACAACAATGGTTCATGATTTTGTAGCCTGGTTAGTTTTCTGCTATGCACTCTGCGTTGGGCTACTCTTGAAGACACCTGAGAAACTGCAGCTAGTGCAGAATACAGTAAAATCAACAATTAGTAAAAACAGGTGCATTTGGAAAAATACTAATTTTGTCAATTAGTCACAAAAGAATAGTACATATCCATTTGTAAAGACAGATGCAAAGATGGTATTTAGCATCTCAGCAGAATGTGCAAATATGAAATATTAGAACAGGGTACAGATTCCTATAACCCAGTTCTTTCTGGTAAGATTTGCATCTCAACTGAGTCAACCCTACAAAATAGCTCCTGCCTGTTTTTCAGTTCCTAAATTGAAGTTCATATTGCTGGGTTAATATTACTGAAAGGACAGCATTGAAGAAAGTGTGAACATTACAACAGAAGAAACACTTTTCTGCTTAGAACAATGTATAACTTTTTAAGGAGAATCACTTTTACACTTTTGGTTATTGAAACCCTCGTCGGAATGGCAGCAAATGGATTTATTGTCCTCATCAATTGCATTGACTGGTTCAGAACCAGGAAACTATCCCCGAATGACCTGATCCTGTCCTGTCTTGGCTTGTCCAGACTTGCATGGCTGGTAGTCATGACTCTGGATAGAACTAAGGTATTCTTTTCTCTGGGTAATCATATTTGGGATACACATGTAATGCCTCCCATCGTGTGGATATTTACCAACTCCGCCAACATCTGGTTTGCCACCTGGCTCAGTGTTTTCTACTTGGCAAAGATTGCCATCTTCTCTCACCCCATTTTCCTCCAAGTGAAGCAAAGAATCTCTGCACTGGTGCCATGGCTGCTTCTCGGCTCAGTCATCTTCTCTGCTATGACGGCTGTTATTCTAATGACAAGCCTGAACAATGGCTTTGCCATGTGCAATCCCTCCAATGATTCAGAAATTAAAGAGCCTGACTCCTGGAAGTACTTGGATATTCTAGGTATGGCCCCAAATCTCATTCCCTTTCTGATATTTCTTTCATCGACCATCTTATTAATAAGCTCTCTGTGGAAGCACATGAGAAGAGTCCAAAGCAATGGGACTGGCACCGGCGATCTCAACACACAAGCGCACTTGAGTGCCATCAAAGCTCTGGCTTCCTTCGCTGTTCTGTACCTGTCTAGTTTTCTAGCAATCACTTCACAGGCAGTACTGATCTTAAATAACATGGATCACAGTTTGCCAGTGAGGCTGCTTGATCTTGTGGTTGCTGCTTATCCCTCTGCTCATACTATCATCCTGATACTAATTAATCCCAAACTGAAGCAGGCATGGGTCAGGATGCTACATCCCTTAAAATGCTGTTTGAGAGAAGTGCCAACTTAAAATCTACTAAGAAACCATGGGGAGAGGACATTTTCTTCTGCCAGAAGGACACTGAAATGCTCTTGAGGCACAATCCTACAGGAAGGACACTCTGTGCTTCCCCTTTAATGCAAATGTATGTATTTTACTAATAGTGAATTATCTCTCCAACTAGCAACTTCGGTAGAAGATATTTATCTACACTGATGATATGTTGGTGGAATCATTTCTTTCTCTGCTTCAGAACTGGCCATGTTAGATGTTAGAACACGCCTTTTAGAACTGTTAGAACTGGCCGTTTGATTTGGATACAGTGGCAGAGAATAATATATAAGTAATCTATGGAGATGCAGTTGTATTCCAGTCTCTGATATACTGAGGTCATTATCCTCTAAAAGTTTTACTGCAAAAGGTTCATGAAAACGTATACACAGAAGTCTTTATTACTTACAATTTGTCTTATAATACATGAAACAAGTATCTTCTTGGGCTCTCATCAATATATCATATTGTCAATTATATTATACCTATATGTGCAATTGATATTGTAGTTTTGTTGTAATTGATGGTAATTGAACTGTATGGTTAAAACACTGTGTTCAAAGTGTTAAAACACTCTTGCGGGGGGGGGGTTGGTTTGGTTAGGAGTAATGAGTTGACACCATTAGAGACAATAATTATGTTAAATTTTAACAAGTTGTTTACTAATACATCCTTAGAATATGGACAACCTTAAACCTTTCTGTATAGGGTAAGGTAAACACACTCAAAAAGAACATTACACCTCAGATTATATGTTTTACATGCCGTTCCGTTTTATATACTTGGTAGATCTAATCATAAAATTGAGACTTTGGTTTTCCTGATCTTAATTTATATCACTGGGCATATGTGGTTGTTGTTCTTTTAGACAGAATTTATTGATTTCACAGAAAGATTCAACAAAGAAACAAAATGAAAAGACACAAGAAACAGAATAGAATACTCTAACAGCAAAATTAGTTACTTTGTACTTATAGACTCTTAGTCATTCTGAGCCATGCTTGTAAGGTTTTTGTTACATTTCATGATTTATGTTCTCCAAGATAATTTTGCATCCAGTTTAAAAATCTTGCCCATTTTCTTTCAAAGTCACTTTCTTGTTTTTCATGTAGTTGTAAAGTTAATTTGTCCATTTCTGCTGCCTCTAATGGTTGGAAAATAAGTTCTTTCTTTGACGTGTTTCTTCTTTTTCCAATATTTTGCAAATAAAATTCAAGCTGTTGTTACAATTTATAAAATCATATATACATCCTTTATATTGTAATTTTGTGGAACCATATTTAATAAAAACAATTCTGGTATGAAAGGTACATTCATGTTAAGTATTTTTGTACTATCTCATGTATCCATATCCAATATTTTTTAACAACATCACAGGTCCACCACATATGATAAAAAGAACCAGTTTTTCGATTGCATTTCCAACAAACATTTGACATATTTGGATACCATTACGCTAAATTTTCAGGAGTCATATGCCATCTATAAAACGTTTTGTATATATTTTCTTTATAGGAAACTGCTTCAGTAAGCTTTATGTTAACTTTCTTTTTTTTAAATAAATTTTTATGCTTTATGTTAACTTTCCATACCTTTTCCCATTGTTCTAGTTGTATGTTATGACCTATATTTTGTGCTCATTTAACCATTGCTTCTTTTACCACCTCATCTTGCATTTTCACATCTAATAGCATTTTATTAAAAAGTTTAATATGTTTACCATCCACACACCCCAAAATTTTATCTATTTCTACAGGTACATCATAGAATCCCATCATTTTGTCTTTCACATATCTAGACTCTATTTGAGCTCTTTCCCACCAATTCAAATTAATGCCTTTTTCTTGTTGAATTAATTTATTTGTGTTATCTAACAAGTCTTGATATCTTTATGTCTATTCTTTTATAAATGTATTTGGGTTTGTAAAAGCTTCTAATGGAGAAACCCATTTTGGAACCTTGTTGTAGTGTAGTTTGAAGACTTGTTGTCATTCCTTTATTAGTGCTGCTCTCAATATGTGCTGGTTAAAGTATTTATGGTTTACACTTTTCTGATACCAAACAAAGGCATGCCAACCCAACATTAGGCCGTGGCCTTCCAGTTTTAAGAGTCTTCTAATGTAATCCAGTCTTTCACCCATGTAAGTGCTGTTGCTTGATAATATAACTTCCAATCTGGTAACACAAACCCTCCTCTTTCTTTAGAGTCTTGTAGTAGTTTTAACTTAATTCTTGGCTTCTTCCCTTCCCAGAAGAAATTCCTTGTCAACTTGACTAGTTCTTTAAAATACTTTTCCTCTTTTATAATTGGAATTGTCTGGAAAAGGAAGATCAATCTAGGTAAAATATTCATCTTGACTGTTGCTATTCTTCCCATGAATGATAATTGCAAGTGTTTCCAACTTTCTAGATCCTTTTTTACTTATTATCCCCTGCCCTATTCCTGATCCAACTGCACCAGTTTAATAAAATCAACTTTTTTGTTTTAACTTTACTTTGTGTCAAGTGCCATTTCCAAAGGGTTTTATACGAGGGCTCCTGCTGAGTTACAAGAAATCTCTGGCCTGGGTACAAGCCAAAAAACTTCTCCATCACAGGGTGGAACACACTGAAAGTTATAATTCTATAACTGAAATGCTACCAAGAGGCTGCTCAACAAGAGAGGGGAACACTGTTTGGGTGGTAAAATCTGACTGACAAAGAAGAAGAAGCAGGGGTCCGTCATAACAGACATTCACCCAGACCACCCATTGGCCCATCCCCCCTTTGCACAGAAGCCAGGAGGTCAGCCTTGCAGGAAGAGAAGGAGAAGAAGGTGATTTGTTGCACCTGTAGTTGGCATCCTGTGTTTCTCTAGGCTTTTGGTGGATGGCTGCATCAGTCCAGATGGCACTGAAGTTTTTTGTTTGCATGGGCATCTATGGGCTATGCATTTTTTGCTGGTGTAACCATCTACCACCAATGAGGAGCATTCATAGTCTGCAATGGCTTAGGGAGCAAACTATGTCCTGCCATGCCTCCTGGCCCACCCACTTCCATGCTGGCACAGGGATCTATGACACTGGCCCACTGATGGGCCACCTTCACAGGGCTGAGATTACAGCCAAGAGTGGTGGGATGATGCTGGGGCACTTTCAGCTAGGCCTCTATCTAGCCCTTCTTGCCATAGGAGTGCGATGACTTTGGAATGTTAACTTTTGATTCTGCTGTGTCTTCACTGTTTCTCTTATCTATGATTGACCTTCAGTGCCTGCTGTAGTATTTCTCTTGAGAATGAATGTCTGTTCCTTCAGTGGGCTTTTACCTAGCCCCTCATTGGTCCAGGTCCATCAGGGGGTCTCCCTGAATTCTGTATAACTGTTTGCTTCACATGCTTTTGGCCTGTTCTGACACAGGAGGGTTAAGATATCTGCATATTATCATATGTATCAATAAACTTTACTTCTTTGAATGAAAGCTGTTGGGAACTGATTGCTGCAGGAGTCTGACAGGCCCTGCCCTATTGTGACTCCAACTTATACTGGGGGATCTCTGAGATATGCCAGGATAATGACTGGTTGGTGCCCTGAGCACTTTCACCCCCTGCTTAGGACTGCACAATAGATCAGTCAAAAGAGAGGCTTTTCCTTAAATAAATCGTAATTGATGGAAGTTGGCCAACAGGGCTTTTAAATCAACACATCCCACAAGAATAGTACATTCTCATTTGCAAAAACATATGCAAAGGTCATATTTATTATCTATGTAAAATGTGCAAACATGATATCCTAGAACAGGACATATATTTAGAAACATGATCCTTCCTAGGAAGATTTGCAAATTAACAGGGGCAGGGCATGAAAACAGTTCCTGCCTCCCTGATGTTCTTGTGTTCATAAGAAGAGGGCCCCAATGTTGTGCAGTGTGCTATTGATGTAAGCATCGCAGCCGAAGAAACTCTACTCTTTTCTCCGGTGCTCAGAAAGATGGCTACCTTGTTGTCAATAACTGGCTTTGCACTTCTCATCATGGAAACCCTTGTTGGAATCATAGCAAATGGATTTATTGTCCTCATCAGCTGCATTGAGTGGATCAGAAGCAGGAAATTATCCCAGACTGACTTGATCCTGATCTGTCTCGCCTCATCCAGACTCCTGTGGCAGGCACTAGTAATGCTGCGTGTAACTATGCTTTTCTTTCCCCCCCTCATCTACAGATTGAAACTGGTACATTTAACAGTTACGATCATGTGGTTCTTTACAGACACCATCAATCTTTGCTTTGCTGCCTGTCTCGGTGTTTGGTATTTCACAAAGATCGCCATCTTCTCTCATCCTCTTTTCCTCCACGTGAAGCAAAGAATCTCTGGGCTGCTCCCATGGCTGCTGCTTGGCTCAGTGGTTTACTCTGTTTTTATGACTGTGACTGTTTTCACAGTATTGAACAGTGACACAACCATTTGTGATCCCTACAAATCATTTTTAAACAATACCTATGATTCAGAAATTCAAACGCCTCATTCTTGTATCGATCTACTCTTTTTTCGTATGGTTCCAACAGTCATCCCTTCTGTGATATTTTTGTCCTCCGCAATCTTGTTAATAATATCTCTGTGGAAGCACACAAGACATTTGCAACAAAACGGAATTGGAGTCAGGGATCTCAGCACCAACGTTCATTTAAGTGCCATCAAAGCTCTGGCTTCCTTTGCTATTTTGTACCTCTCCAGTTTGGTAGCCACCAATTTAGTGCTGGTTCGGAGAAGCAATGATGGTTCTTGGAGATCTGTACTTTATAATGTCAGTGCTGCGTATCCCTCTGGGCATGCTGTTGTCCTGATATTAATTAATCCCAAACTGAAACAGGCATGGGTCAGGATGATACATCACTTAAAATGTTGTGTGAGTGAAGCACCATCTTAAAAACTACCAAAAGAATTAAGGGAGAGGACTTTCTTTCGTGGAAGAAGGAACCTGAAAAACCCTTGGGGAACAATCCAT